AACACAACATGTAAATATGAGAGTGATTTTGCTAATATAGCGTGATGATATGATGAGATGTTTTCACATGTGGTGTGTTTGTGTGGTGTGTGTGTGTGTGTGTGTGTGTGTGTGTGTGCTGGATGAGCTTTTCTCTGATCTGAAATGCACTGTGGATCATGTTGAGTTAAGCTCAGCTGCTGCTCATTGGTGAGAAGAGATGCAGTCTGGGAAATGGAGAGAAGCTCCGGCTCCAAGCTTCAGCCTTTAATCTGCTTTAGGCTTCTGCTAGTGCGTGCCTGTTTATTTTTATTTGTTTATTTATTTATTTATTTATTTGTCGGGCAGACGGCTGGAATTGAGGATCACTGTTGGGCCTCACAGTGTGGAGGTGTTTACCAGGAAATGCTTTTAAAGGAAACCTGATGAAGCATTAAAGCGAGGCAAAACACTGATTTTCACGCACCTGTCAATTCTGAATATTTTAGCTCTTTTTAAAGTGTTTCTTCCTTGCGTAATGCCAAGAAAACAACAAAAATACAATTTTAATAGTTTCTTCTATTAATATGTGTCTGTTGATTTCTATTACACTGCATATTTGAATGGTTGTTTCTTATATATTCTAAATCTCCACTTTGACAGATCTTTATATACACCAAATGCATCTATATTCTAAAGGTTTCTACAGAGGTTTATTTCTATACACAATTTGCTAGATTATATAAAAAAATTAAAGTTTACAACAATTGGGACTTTTTATTTAATTTTATTTATTTATTTATTTAGTTAGTTTTACTTTATTTTATTATTTTTATTTATTTAGTTTTGTATATTATTTTATTTTAGTTTTATTTTATTTTTTATTATTTTTTATTTAGTTTTATTTAATTCTTTATTATTTTTATTTTGTTTAATTTTATTTATTTATTTTGTTTGATTTTATTTTGTTTTATTTTACTTCATTTTATTATTTGTATTTTGTTTTATTTTATTTATTTATTATAATTTTTATTTAATTTTATTATTTTTATTTATTTATTTTTATTTAGTTTTATTGTTTTATTTTATTGAATTTTTTTGGTTTTATTTCTTTTTTCCTTTTGTTTTATTTTATTTAATTATTTTTTATGTATATTTATTTATTTTTATTGTTTTATTTACTTAAATTTTGTTTTGTTTTATTTTTATTTTATTCTTTATTATTTATTTATTTTATATTATATTATTTTATGAATTATGAAGTGATTAAATAAAGTCTCCCAAAATCACCTCTTAAAAAAATCCCTGTAATGAGTCAAGAAAGAAAGAAAGAAAGAGTCCCAAACCTAACTTCAGATTTTTTCACTAGGAGTATGTGCAAATTAAAAAAAGAATCTCATTTGCATATTTGCACTTTATAAAACTTGTAGTATAAGGTATTTTGGCATTTATAATACAATGAAACAACTGGGAATGTGTATTGAAAATTACACAAGTTTCGTAAAAAGGTGAACCAAAGGTGAAGGTAAAAAAAGATGGAGGTTTGTAGCGCCACCCAGTGGTCAATTATGGCATCACAAACAGAGGCCTTATCTCTTTATTGCTCGTTGAATTATTATTGTCTATATTTTATTCATTTTCCTTCTGCTTATTTTATACCCTTAATTTATCAGGGATTGCCACAGGGGAATGAACCGCCAACTTATCCAGCATATGTTTTATGCAGTGTATGCCCTTCCAGCTGCAACCCATCAATGGGAAACAACCGTACACACTCTCATACACATAGAAGAACATGCAACTCCACACATGCCAACTGTGTCCAGCTAGGGCTCGAACCAGCGACCTTCTTGCTGTGAGGCGATTGTGCTACCCACTGCACCACCATAATATAATATAATATAATATAATATAATATAATATAATATAATATAATATAATATAATATAATATAATATAATATAATATAATATAATATTCATTCATCTTCTTTTCAGCTTAGTCCCTTTATTAATCTGGGGTCGCCACAATGGAATGAATCGCCAACTTATCCAGCACGTTTTACTCAGCGGATGACCTTTTGGCTGCAACCCATCTCTGGGAAACATCCATACACACTCATTCACAATCATACACTATGGACAATTTTACCTTACCCAATTCACCATCACCGCATGTCTTTGGACTGTGGGTGAAACTGGAGCACCCGGAGGAAGCCCACAGGAACTCAGGGAGAACATGCAAACTCCACACAGAAACGCCAACTGATCCAGCCGAGGCTCGAACCAGCGACCTTCTTGCTGTGAGGTGACAGCTCTACCTACTGCGCCATAGTGTTCCCTAATATAATATAATATAATAAAATATAATATAATATAATATAAATACATAATTTATATTCCGTTGAATTACGATGAAGTACAGCCATGACTAAAATATTATGTGAAATACTAATATTATTGTAGAATTTTCATTTCTTTTTTACAATTTCTTTGTAGTTTAAATCAATAAGATAATCACTGGACATGATTGATCAATAATTAAAATCAATAAAATAAACAATTTGACATTAAATAATGTGATAAAGACTTCAAATGAATAATGTTTTCATTATATAAATATAAAAGCAATATCATACTCGTAGCAGTGCAATATGGCTGTATATCAGCACTGGTGGGAGGCGTGCGTTGGCTCAAGGCTGCAGGCACATGCGCAGTGCCACGCATTTCAGAATTCTAAACATTGGTTTCTATCAGGATACACGCCAGCGTTGCAAGTCAGAGGCTGTCCGCAGCACCCAGCCACGACTCAGGACACTGTTCATATTTCTGCTGTGCCACAGATCTAATTAGTTTAATTCAACTGCCATGTACGCGCCGTGTCGCAACGATGAGCGGCACATCTGGTGTGACGTCCTTTAGTGTCCCACCAGTGATGATATACAGCCATATCACACTGTTACGAGTGTGATATTGCAATTATACAGCAGTTCGATAGTATAATCGTGCATATGAAAAAGAAAATCAAATAGAGAGTCTCAAAACCTCTTTTGTATGAGGAACTACTTTCTTCCGCCATTCATTCACTGCAGCTGACGTCACAACAGCAGAAGCCGTTGCTCCATCACCGACACCGATGACAAAACAGGTGATTTTGCTCACACTTTAAGATAACTAGGCTGAACAGCATGAAATGCCATCAGTCTACAGAGATTTCCTAATAATTCTCTATTCAATGGGCTCTATGCACAGCAAGAGTTTTAAAGCTAATGATAAACTTCCATTAAAAGCTTAATGTGACTATTTTTTCAATTTCACAAGCTTGTTTTTACAGCGCAGAACATCTATTGAAAGTATATCAAATAAACTGTCATATTTGAAACACTTTTAACCCAGAGATGGGTTGCGGCTGGAAGGGCATCCGCTGCGTAAAAATATGCTGGACAAGTAGGTGGTTCATTCCCCTGTGGTGACCCCGGATTAATAAAGGGACTAAGCCGACAAGAAAATGAATGAATGGATTAATATTTTAAACACATGGTGGGGGAAAATGGAATTTAACGCAGTGCTTCTTGTCAGATCTGAGACCCACTTCATATTGTATATCTAAGAGGAAGTGAAGATAGCTGATTAAATCAAATCTTAAACGTGACAATTTTGTAATGGGAAGACAGTTCAGCTGAAGCCCTTGGGCTGCCTGGCTGAAAATTAAAAGTCCACAATAATTAACCCTGATAAACCCAAAGCAAAGCAAACACTACCAGTGTTTATGGTATAAATGCAGCACTACAAAATACGAAAGGGAGATATCAACTTAGAATGTCTCTTACCTGATTTATAATGATTTGTTCAGCTGTAGTTTGAAACTTGCGCTGAGGAAATGCTGTTTTTTCTCCTCTAAGGACTTGATATGCGATCTCTGTCGCTGTCTTGTGGCGGAACGCCAACCATCACTTTCTTTGTTCTGCGGCTGGATATCATTGCGAGGCGAGGCTGATCTAGCATGCTGCTAGCACTGAATCTGTTGCTCCAAAATGATAAATATTAAAAATAGGCACTATGCGTATTAATAAACTACATAGTTGCAATCTAAACAACTATATTCTTGACTAAAAAAGGCCTCAAAAGTACATTATGTGTCAAACAGCTGCAATATTTGACAAACTGTAGAGCAGGGGTCACCAATCCTGGTCCTGGAGGGTCGGTGTCCCTGCAGGGTTTAGCTCCAACTTGCCTCAACACACCTGCCTGGATGTTTCAAGTACAGTATACCTAGTAAGGCCTTGATTAGCTTGTTCAGGTGTGTTTGATTAGGGTTGGAGCTAAAATCTGCAGGACACCGGCCTTCCAGGAACAAGTTTGGTGACCACTGCTGTAGAGTGTCCTGTGCTTGTCGCTGTATGTGGGCGGAGTAATACACAAGGGTAAACAGGCTGGACGAGTGCTGTTACTGGCAAGGCTGGTCAGATTCAAGAACCAGACAGAACATACAAGTTCCATAAATAAGTTTTATTTATTATTTTTTCTTGAAAATATTTTGACATTAACAAGAACTACAGAACTAATCATTATATATCATATACATAACATAATAAAATATATTTTTATTTATCATTTCCAAAACATTGGTATTCAAACATAATTTCAAGCTCTGAAACTGTTTAAATGCTGGACTAATATGCTCTGCATCACATGACCTGAAGTAATAATTAACATGTCATTCATTAATTAACCCCTATCCAGAGAATTGAGTACAGCTGAAAATGTCTCTTTTTTCCTATACTTGATTTAAAGCGACAAGTCTTAAATTATATTAATTTCGCTTCCTCTCTGTCTTCATAGATCCCCTTTGAGATCTCTCTTGTAAAACAATAATAATCCCATATTTTCCGTCGAGACCGACAGTGAGAAGCCCTGGAGGATCTCATCATTAAAGCCATGAACTCCCACTGCAGTTCTGCTGTCGGCCTACAGGGGTCAGAGGCGCGGCGGCGTGCACACGGGCCCGTCACTCAGCACACAGCAGAAGCAGCAGAAATAATGATCGCTTTGGACCCCGGAAGTGTGTGTGACCCTCATCTTTATTTCTCACCCATGAAAGCCTTCAAAAAGCCCCAGAAATGAAATGATAGATTTACATTTGGCCCTCGCCCATCTGAGAATCGCAGCTGGAGGATCAAATCTCATTTCGGAGGCGGTAAGCGAAAGCACGAGCTCAGTGTGTCGATAAAGAAAGTGAATCATGGTGGTGTTTGTATGGCTGCGATTTATGTATCAGTCCGTTCTGACAACACCAATCTGTGTTGTACTGATTTGTCATTAGACTGTTACAATAATTCAATATTTAATAACTGATAAATGGGTTGTATTAAAGTCATGCTGGAGATTTTTTAACTAAATGCTGTGTTAGATACTCAGGGTGTGACGGAAGATTAGATTGAGAAAGAGATAAACGAGAACATCAGTGCTTTTGGATGGTTTACAAAATAACAACAAACTCAATTTGTGTCTGTTTACTATGGTCAGCTTCTCGAAATTAATGTTTGAAATCAAATTGCATTTCCTCATGAGCTACACTACAAAAATGCTAGAGCTTTTGTCTTGTTTCTAGTCCAGATATCCAAAAAATCTTAAATCAAGAAGCATTTTCTAGACGAGTAAAACATATTGTCTTGTTTTAAGCTATAATATGCCAAAATAGGTGAGTTTTCTTTAAAACAAACAAAAAAAGACAAGAATATTTAGCTTTTATCAAAGAAAAACATATTATTTCTTAAAACACCACAAAATGCCTTTTTGTAGAGTTTTTGTGTTGTTTCTAGTCAAAATATCAAAATATTCTTAAATCAAGAAGCTTTTTCAAGATAAGCAAAACATATTGTCTGTTTTTAAGATATACTCTGACAAAATTAAGTGAGTTTTTCATTCAAAACAAGTAAAATGATCTTGTTTTTTTTTTTTGCTTTGACAAGAATATTTTACTTGCTTAAAGGAAAAACTCACTTTGACTATTATTTCTGAAAACAAGACAATACCTTTTGCTTGTCTAAAAATGCTTCTTGATTTAAAAATATTTCAATATTTGGACTAGAAACAAGAGAAAAATTCGAAGTAAGAAAAGCGTTGTGGCAGTGTATTTTTATTTTTATTCAAATGTTTTGATATCAGTGCAGGCTTTTATTCATTCTTTCATGTATTTGTTGTTGTAGCTTATTTGAGAAATATGATAGTATCTGTCACAGGAAGAAACTGAAACTAAGGTTTATGAATCAGCTTTTAGACTTCTAAATTAAACTCTTAAGAATATTTTTCACATAAATTTGACATGAAAAGCTTAATGATGTAGTATAAAATATGAAGGAAAATTACCATCATATTTTACTCACCCTCATGTGACTTGTGTATATGGAATGGTACACAAACATTAGGAGGTTTTTAACCCTTTGAAGCTCTTTGAAGCCTTTGAATTTCATTTTTGACTATTAAATTGGAATGGTTAGCCTAACAGCAAGAAGGTCGCTGGTTTGAGTCCCGTCTGAGCCAGTTGGCGTTTCTGCGGGGAGTTTGCATGTTCCTCCTATGTTCGCATGGGTTTCCTCCAGGTGCTCTGGTTTCCCCCACATTCCAGACATGCGCTATAGGTGAATTGAATAAGCTAAATTGGCTTAGTGTATGAGTGTGTGTGACTGAGAGTGTATTACAGTACTGGGTTGCAGCTGGAAGGGCATTCGCTGCTTAAAACATATGCTGGAATAGTTGGCAGTTCATTCCGCTGTGTCAAACTCTGAAATGGAGACTAAGCCGAAGGAAAATAGATGAATGAAGAATTTAATGGTGTAGTTTAAAATATGAAAGTAAAATTGCCATCATATTTAATTTTACTCACCGTCATGAGACTTGTGTATATGGAATGGTACACAAACTTTAGGAGGAAGTTTTTAACCCTTTGAAGCTCTTATTTCATTTTTGACTATTAATTTGGAATGGTATAAAACATGCTAAGGATTTTAGCATGTGCTATGCAAATAATAATGAGATGTGAAAATATAAAAAATATCAATTTAATTCATTTCATTATTCATATATATTTAAATAGGAATAAATATATTAATTTTTTTTTCAAAACCATTTTGTTACAATAAATCTTATAAGTATAAAATATATTAAATTGAATTCAGCTAGTTTCACAGTAAATGTTTCAGCTTTTCTTTTAGTCTATAATGTCTAATATCTAAAGCTAATATAAAGTGAAAATAAAAATAACACCAAGGCCTAATAATTTTATCAAAATCTGTGTCCATGCAATAATCAAGCAGATTAGCATCATATAGATTTCATAAACTTGTGTTAAAAGTGTTATTTATTATATATTATTCATAATTTAAAACACATTGTTTAATTTTACATAGGAATTAATGTCACCAACATTTCAAGTAATTTTCCAATAGAAAATAATTGACCAGAAATAGTAACATACAAATCTGAATTATGGTAATTGATAAAAAAAAATATCAGCATAAAACTGGGCTGTTGCTCTGTTTGAACGATATATATTTTAGCCTTTTTGTCATTTTAAGGCTAGGATTCAGGCTAGATTTGGTAACATGTAGAGCTTTGTTTAGCACTTTATTTAAATGATTATTTGCATTTTAAATTTTATTAACTTGACTTGTCAATGACTTGCAAGGATAGTTTGACTGAAAGTCACAACGACACCATATTTTTCAGTGTGTAAAACAACAACCCGGATGAGTGTTTAGAATTTTATATTGAATATCAACTAAAACTAAAAAAATAAATCTTATTTTAAGACTTCTGACTAAGTTGATTAATAGGCAAAATCTGTGTCAGTATAATAAAAACACACCACCATAGCACCATATAGATTTCATAACCTTGTGTAACTTGGGTAACCTTATTACATATTTTTTTCATAATAAAAACACATAGAAATTAATGACCCCAACATTTCAAGTAGTTCACAATAGAAAATAATTGACCAGAAATAATATCTTCGGTATCAATATTTTGGAAATTGATAAAAATGATCAGCATAAAACTGAGCAGATCTAGTAAATAGCATTTTTTTTGTATGTAAATGGCAGATATTTTGCTTAAATATATATTTAAAAGATTATTAACATTTTATGACTAATTATCCGTATACTATGCATAATACTAAAACATACATATATATATATATACACATACATATATATATAGATATATACACATACATATATATATATATACATACATATATATATATATATATATATATATATATATATATATGGATAAAGACAATTTGACATGTTAAATTCGTACACAAATAAGAAAAAATTAATAAACTAGTGTTTTATTATTAATAAGACAATAATACAGAAAAATGTATTATAATAAAAAGTAAAAAAAAGAAATAACAATAATGTCAAAATAAAATACAAAAAGGAGAAAACATAAATAGATAGTAAAATAATTAAAGAAAAACATGTATAATTTATACAAAATATAAAACTTAAAATAAAAAATGTAAGACATTGATTAAAATAAATAAATTAATGTATATAATTTCTCCCTGCCTTTGCATGGGTTTCCTCCGGGTGCTCCAGTTTCCCCCACAGTCCAAAGACATGGGGTACAGGTGAATTGGGTTGGCTAAATTGTCTGTAGTGTTTGAGTGTGTGTGTGGATGTTTTCCAGAGATGGGTTGCGGCTGGAAGAACATCCGCTGCGTAAAAACTTGCTGGATAAGTTGCCGTTCATTCCGCTGTGGCAACCCCAGATTAATAAAGGGACTAAGCCGACAAGAAAATGAATGAATGTATATAATTATATACTAGTAATAACTTAATAATAATAGTCATAGTAGTATAATAGCACACACACACACACACACACACACACACACACACACACTCACTCACATCTGTTTGTGCACTGCCCTGCTTACTGACACAATTTCCTTTCCTGTTGTAAGTTTGATCACTTCTACCATGACTCTCGATGTGTGTTTGTCCTCAACAGGCTCCAGATTGTGGATGCCATTGAATTCAAACCCAGCAGGGTTTGAAAGGATGTCATTGTGAGGGACGCACTGTGTGGTGAGTCGATTCTACTTATTAAAACAAATCTTTTAAACAAACCCATTCACTTCAGTTTGCAACTTATACCAGAATATAAAGTATATTTAATGCAAAATATAATTGAAGGCATATTGTTTTCGTCGGTTTTTGGCAGTAAGCACACACACACATCTCTCTTTTCATTTGTTTGGCCTCTTGTTTTGTAAGCGATTTGCATCTCAATAGTATTTATGTAAATAGGATGGCAAGTTTCAGGCCAAGTCCAAGACTGAAACTTCTGCCATGTTTCTTTAGCAACAGACTGTAGATTGGGAGTGGCGTTTCTGTGATACTCGGACTGAAAATAGTTTACAATCTTAACACTGTAAGAGTGATTCAAGCTGACATCGCCCGCAAGCCTTTTACACACTCACATTTTAATTGCACAACACACTCTGAGGTTTTCCTTCTCTCTTTATTTAGGTTTGTTTATTTGTTGTGGCTTGATTTTGGAGAGATTTAAAATATTAAATGTTATTATATTGTTTAGATTGAAGCTCATGAATCAAAGTACACCGATGTTTCAGATGTGTGAAGGTCTTCGATTTGAATCAAAGATATAGTTTTGATGTATAATAATATAATATAATATAATATAATATAATATAATATAATATAATATAATGTAATATAATATAATATAATGTAATATAATATAATATAATATAATATAATAATGTAATATAATAATGTAGTATAATATAATATAATATAATAATATAATATAATATAATAATGTAATATAATATAATAATAATAATATAATATAATATAATGTTTTAATTTAATGTAATATAATATAATAATAATAATAATAATAATAATATAAATCTCTCAAATTCAAATGAGCTTTATTGGCTTGATTTGGCCAATATTGCCATTTGCTGAAGCATTGCACATACATAATAAAAAAAGTAGTGTGTATATATATCTTTCATTTACAATAATATTTTCTATTGGATGCTAATATTATTGGATGCTAATATTATATTTGTTTGTATACATTAGATTAGTCAGTGCTGAAGCCAAATCTGGAGCTTATCTAACAAAAAAAACTTATGATAATGGCCCAAAACTAGTACACTCAAATTTATTTATATTATAAGTTATTCAGTATGTAATATTTATAAGTATTTAATAAAAAGCGTAAAAAGAGCAAAATTCAAGAATTTTGTTAAAATTTTGCAGTTGTATTTTTTTCAATATTTCACATGGATTTAAATGTATTATCTTTCAATTTCTAAAGATGTTTCGTGACTAAAATATTATTTTAATAAATATATCTGTTTAATAAATTTGTTTTGTTTAAATGTACCATAATAAAAATAATAATAATAACAATAATAATAATAATAATAATGACTTTCATTTATATTGTGCTTTTCTGGACACTCAAAGCGCTTTATACATTTTTGGGAAGGAATCTCCTCATCCAGCTCCAGTATGCAACATCCACTTGGGTGACGCGATGGCAGCCATATTGCACCAGATCTCACACCACGCACCAGCTGATTGGTAGAGAGGAGAAAGAGTGAGTTGTTAAGAGACAGTGTTAAGAGGTGGACAGAGGTCAAAATTGGCCAGGGTTAAACCTGAACGACAATATAATGGGGCATTAGGACCCACACAGACTGCAGGTTGAGTGACTCCTGCTTGTCTCAATAAAACCACTTCTGGCAGTAACCTAGCTTTCCCATGTGGTCTCCCATCCTGGTACTGACCGGGCGCAGCCTTGCTTAGGCTTAGAATTATTAGCCTCCCCTGTATATTTATTTCCCCAATTTCTGTGTAACAGAAAGAAGATTTATGAAACAGAAGAGTTTTAATAACTCGTTTCTAATCACTGATTTCTTTTATCTTTGCCATGATGACAGTAAATAATATTTGACTAGATATTTTTCAACGTACTAGTATTTAACTTAAAGTGACATTTAAAGGCTTTACTAGGTTAATTAGGCAAGTTAGAGTAATTAGGCAAACATTGGTTTGTTCTTTAGACAATTAAACAAAAATATATAGCTTAAGGGAGCTATTAATATTGACCTTACAAGTGTTTTAAAAAATGTAACTGCTTTTATTTTTGCCGAAATAAAACAAATAAGACTTGCTCCAGCAGAAAAAATATTATCAGACATACTGTGAAAATTTCCTTTCTCCGTTAAACATCATTTGGGAAATCAACATCATCATCATTTTCATCCGCTTATCCGGGGCTTGGTCGCGGGGGCCGGAGTATTAGGAGGGAACCCCAGAATTCCCTCTCCCCAGACACTTCTTCCAGCTCCTCCGGAGAGATCCAGAGGCATTCCCAGGCCAGCCGAGAGACATAGTCCCTCCAGCGTGTCCTGGGTCTTCTCTAGGGCCTCCTCCTAGTGGGACATGCCTGGAACACCTCCCTAGGTAGGCGTCCTGGAGGCATCCGAAACAGATGCCCGAGCCACTTAAGCTGACTTCTCTCGATGTGGAGGAGCAGCGGCTCTACTTCGAGCTCCTCCTGGGTGACAAAGCTCCTCACCCTATCCATAAGAGTGCACCCTGCCACCCTACGAAGGAAACTCATTTCAGCCGTTTGTATTCGAGATCTTGTCCTTTCAGTTGTGACCCAAATCCTATGACCATAAGTTAGAGTAGGGAAGTAGATTGACCGGATAATCGAGAGCTTTGCCTTTCAGCTCACCTCCTTCTTCACCACAATGAACTGGGACCTCATGTACGAAGACTTGAGTGGAAATCATACTAAAACATTGCGTACGCACAAAGCTGTAAATGTGCGTACGCAGAAAAAAATTCAGATGTATGAAACACTGCGTACGCCGAATCTCACGCATATTCTTTTGTACATCCGAATGAACGTGAAACTGAGCGCAACATGCACGAGCACAAAACCCCTTCTTGCCTCCTCCTCCGTATGAATATGCAAATGACTCTACTTTGGCAAAACCCAACAAAAAAGCAATGGCAAAAGCAAGCAAAAAGAGAGACTTTGAACAGAATGTGAATTGGAGGTGCTGCTTTCGGAGGTAGACCGGAGAAAAGCGATGTTATTTGCAAGTTTGTTCTCTGGAATTAACAACAAAAGAAAAAAATAGAGTGGGAGAGTTTAGCTGATGCGGTTAACACAGTTGGGTCTGAACATCGCACTGAGTGAATTAAAAAAGAAATAGTGTGGTTTATAGGTGAAAAATGTTGCAGTTCCGTTAATAGTCTCAGTGGCGCAGCTCGCAAGACGCATGTCAACATTTTTTGACACGTTCGAGCATGAACTCGGTTCGAATCCAGCGCTTGATGAACTCTTTCTTCTTTTTTCCCCCGCTACATATCAGATTTTGCCAACTATTTATCACGAGAAAGACAAGTAGGAATCATTAATAAGTTTGTGCATCATATTTTATTTGCACATTTATTGAATGGAAATGTTTCTGATTCACGCATGCAAATTCATCTTCAGATAGTGTCTTTATAGCAATGTGCGTGCAGTAGATACCTCAGATTACATTGGGAAAACAGGCGACCGCTGCAAATTGCGCTTTAATGTTTAGCTGGTCAACTGTATGGTATGGAAACCTTATATATCTGCTAGATGAACCCGTCTCATACAGCTGCCATTGCAAGGCACTTTGTAGAGAGGAATTTAACACAACTGCCTCTATGAGTCGCCAATGGAAATAAAACAGACACGCACAAAAAATGTGCGTACGCCAGCCAGAAAGCTGCCGTGGAGCTGCGCACATTCCCACGTTCAGTTCATTGTTAGTAAATCCAAACGTGAGCAATTCTGAGCGTGAAACCTGAGCGTGAAAGCGTTGATACATGAGGCCCCTGGTACATTGACATCATATGGGAAATATTAAAAACAAATTTACAGGAAGGCGTATAATTTTAGCTTCAAATGTATGCTAACGATGAGTTACTGTAATAAAAAGGCACTTCTCAATGGGAACTCTTGTCTGTCTGAGCAGGAGAGAATGCAGTCTTCAGGACAGCGGTTGAGGGATGTGGAGCAGCACCAGCCTCTGCTCAGTGGAGGGGAAGAGGAGGTGACGGCCGGCCGCGTCTGGTTCATCCAGGACAGCTGCGGGATGGTATGCGCCTTCATGACCTGGTCCCTAGTCATGTACGCTGAATTCGTGGTGAACTTTGTCATGCTGCTCCCCTCCAAAAACTTCTGGTACACTCTAATCAACGGCGTGGCGTTTAACTTTCTGGCCGTGCTGGCGCTGACGTCGCACCTGAGGACCATGCTGACAGATCCGGTAAAGAAAATGGCCCATATTTAGACTGAAAGAAGAGTTTGTGATGGAGGTTTTTGATGAGCATTGCTTTGTGTCCGTCAGGGTGCAGTTCCCAAAGGAAACGCCACTAAGGAATACATGGAGAGTCTGCAGCTGAAGCCTGGAGAGGTCATTTACAAATGTCCCAAGTGCTGCAGCATTAAACCAGAGAGAGCACACCACTGCAGGTAACACCAATTTTTCACAGGCGCGTGTGTGTGACTGTGTGTTTGATTGTATTTGTGGTTGTGTTTGTGTATGCATTTGTTTTTGTGCATGCTGGTGTCCTTGTTTGTTTGTGTTTGTTTGTGTGTGTTTGATTGTGTTTGTTGGTTGGTTGGTTGTTTGATTGTGTGTGTTTGTTTGTTTTTGTGTGTGTGTGTGTGTGTGTGTTTTATTTTGATTGTATGTGTGTGTTTGTCTTAGTGTGTACGTGTGTCCTTGTTTGTGTGTGTTTGATTGTGCTGTGTGTGTTTGATTGAGTTGTTTGTGTTTGCTTGTGTGGTTTGTTGGCTGATTGTTTGTTTGTGTTGTGTGTGTTTGAATGTGTGTGTGCGCACTTTTGTGTGTGTGTGTATGTGTGTGTTTTGCTTGTTTGTTCTTGCGGGTTTGTTTGTTTTTGTGTTATGTTTGTTATGTGTGTGTTTGTTTGTTTTTGTTTGTTTGTGTTACCTGTTTGCATGTGTGCATTTGTTTGTTTTGTGTGTTTGTTTGTGTTTTGTGTGTGTTTGCGTGTGTGTTTGCGTTTGCATGTGTTTGTTTGTGTGTGTTTGTTTGTTCTTGCGTGTTTATTTGCGTGTTATGTTTGTTATGTGTGTGCATGCTTGTTTGTTTGTGTTATCTGCGTGTGTGTGTGTGCACGCGCGTGTGTGCGTGCGTGTGTGTGTGTTTGTTTGTTTGTTTTGTTTCTGTTGTGTGTTGTTTGTGTTATGTGTGAAACGAGCGTTTTATTCGGTGTAATTGGCCATTCCAGCAAAGATTGATTTAAACATTGAATTAAAGTTCAAGAGTAAAGCATTGGTGTTTTATCTAAAGATGAACATAAACAAACATTTTTATGTTTTTTATGTTTTTATGTTAACATTTTATGGCTCTTTTTATCATTTGATGCAACCAAAATGCTCTAAATAACAGCATTACTAAAACTTTTATAACCATGTACTAAAAACTTTACGATTTAAATGCAAATGCTCAACTGCTTCAAACCTAATAAATAAAATTATTTCAAACGTGAAAAGGTTGAAACTTTAAGCTTTTTAGACTACTTCAAATCTATCTACCCATAAACAAACAAAAAAAAGTCATGTTATATGTTACATATTCCTATTAAATAGTTTTTTAAACCTATTAAATTGTTGTCTTGTAGCTGATGTGATCTCTTCACCAGCTCTTGTTTGTTGTAGTATCTGTAAGAGATGCATCAGGAAGATGGATCATCACTGTCCTTGGGTCAACAACTGTGTGGGCGAAAACAATCAGCGATTCTTTGTCCTCTTCACTGTAAGTGGGTCTCAGACTGCTGGCATTGCTTTTACAGAGTTGATGGTGAACTTCCTTTGCCTTGGTTTCCAAGATAAATTCTAATATGAATCACCTGCTGTTTCATTTATAAATACAGCAAATGGACACTTAGCATGTATCAGTGCATGAACTGAGAGCACGTCATAATCTGAGTTTTATATCAGTGATGCAATTATTTAGTCTTAGATTGATGTTTGGTTCAGACTGCTTGACAGCTTTAATATTTTTAATAGCTATAATAAACTTTATGTCCACATTACACTGGGTGTATGATAGGGCCCTTTGTAATTTATAATCAGAATATGTATTAAATATTAGAATAATTTTGATTGTTTGATACAGTTTGTTTGAATCAATTTAGGCCATTAGCTCTGTAAACCCCGCCCTTCAATAACCCCTATTTCAGACCCATGTACCACCACCCTCCAGTTTTGTTATTTCTCCCGGAATACTCCCGTAATTTCACCCCATCCACAGTACTCACCTTTTTGGTACAGTCTATAACACCTCTGGGTTGCCAATTTTGGTGTAGTATCTGATCACAATGGCCGCCCAAAACCCGGTCCATAGGACAGTTACTAACACCAGTAGTTACTAACCCTGTTCTCAGCAGTGTTATTCAGACAAACACAACACCCCCACCCCCAATGCCAATTATAATTATTATTATTTTTTACAGACAGCATACACTGAACAATTCATTGGTTGCAAACAATTAATATGGGCAAACAATTAATAATTTTATTAAAAATTAAAATTTAAACAAATATAAAATTATTTGTTTAAATTCAGCCCATATAAATTGTGTGCAAACACTTACCTTAAGAAAATGTAGATTTTTTTTTCATTGTGTTTATTTTCATGCACTTTTTTATTAACTTTTTCAGACTGCTTGCATTAAAGGACAGCTAGGTTTCAAACTCTAAATAAGATATTTTTTGAAAATCCACAACTTGCTCTTTTAATAGTAAAGGCATCAGTGGACAGTATTTATATTAAGGTTTTCATCATAACCTGAGTTTCAAGTTCGTAAATGCAGAATTATATGTGACTGTTGTGTGTGTTTTTTTTTTTGTCCTTTTCAGATGTATATAGCCTCCATTTCATTGCATGCCCTGTGTCTGAGTGGTTTCCACTTCTTCACCTGTGTCAAAGTCCAGTGGAACGGTGAGTAATAATAGATATCCGAGACTCACACTCCATTAACAATTATATCATATAAAGTCAAGAGCGAGACATTTAATATGCAGCTTTATTGCAGGGCTTTTTCTTTGTGCTCTGCATGACGCCATTTTTAGCTCAAGAAAACCTTTTATGAGAGTTTTTGATTTGTGTGCAGGGTGTGTTATTGGCTTTTCTTTTTATCCGTAATATTACTATTGTTTTTTTATAATACAATGCAACTATAAAACAATAGAATATGTGGGTGTATATTTAGGGCTGCACAATATATCGTTTCATCATTGATATTCCACTGTGTGAATCTGCAATAGTCACATCACACGATCTCAAGCAATTTCAAGTGAATGTAAACTTTTGGACATAAGAAATTATAAAGTTTGATTAATTGTATTTAAATGTATGTACAATGAAGACTGTACCATGGTATGCTATGTTTGATTATTGGATTCCTGTACCTTAATGCTGTTAGACTCCACTGAAGACTATAAAGCATTTTATCTGGGATCGTCAATCCCAGTTGTAAGAGCAACAAATAATAACTTGACTTCTAGTTGATCATTTGGAAAAATGGCAGAAGGTCTATTTTTTTTTTTTCAGATGATTCATTTGTTGAACTGCATCCTAATCATGACAAATACTGCAGAAGACCTATTAGAACCCGCATAGACCCAAGATTCTCAAAGAAATCAGTCAAGTTTGGTGAAAGAAAAATCATGGTTTGGGGTTACATTCAGTATGGGGGCGTGCGAGAGATCTGCAGAGTGGATTGCAACATCAACAGCCTGAGGTAACCAGCCCAGTCACCAGACATGAACATTATTGAGCATGTCTGGGGTAAGATGAGGGAGGAGGCATTGAAGATGAATCCAAAGAATCTTGATGAACTCTGGGAGTCCTGCAAGAACACTTTCTTTGCCATTCCAGATGTTATTTGAGTGATTGCAGAGATGTATGGATGCAGTCCTCCAAGCTCATGGGAGTCATACAAAATATTCATTCTTTTTCCACTGCACCATGACTTCATGTTCTATACTGGACATTATTTTAGTCTACGCAACATTAGATTTTACTGTCCTAATGAAATAATTAGAAATCAAGGCATGATCATATTTTATTTTAGTAAAAAAAAAAAAAAGCATAATCTAGAGGCCTGTCATATAAGCCACTTCTCATACCAAATGATCAACTAGAAGTCAGGTTATTATTTGTTGTTCCTAAAACTTGGATAGTCTATAGTATTATGAGGTACTAATAAGTGTTTTTGTAATTTGTATTACATATCTCGTTAAAATGGCAGTTTTCTGATATTTTCTGATGCGGTGTGTGTTCTGCAGAGTGCAGTGATTTCTCTCCACCTGTGGCAGTAATGCTGCTGATTTTCCTGTGTCTGGAAGCACTACTGTTTCTCACATTCACTGCCGTCATGTTCGGCACTCAGATTCACTCCATCTGTAACGATGAGACGGTAAGTTGAGTTAAACTTCCAGAAGTCCTTTGATATGATGATTACTATCATTGCTTCTACTGGAACTTTTAAACTTTTTGAACTTTTTCATAACTTAAAAGCACAATATGTCATTTTTTCATTAAAATATGCAAAAACCACTAGATCAGTGTTAATAACGTTGCTGACTTCTGCTCTTAGATTATCCCAAATAATGTTCAAATCCAGAATAAGCCATTTTGAAGGTGCTGTAGGTGATCTGCCGAAATGCTAGCATTAGCATAATAGCTTAAAAATTTTACGACCCTCCCCTGCCGTCCAAAGCCACGCCTCCTTAAGTCATGAACACGCAAACGCGCACTGTTTAGATATAACACTAGATCATGTCATTCACCAGTTAGAAAGCTATGTGGAGAAGCACACTTTATCAAGCGTAGCTGTTGACAGGCCAGCGGGTGCAGGATTTAAAGGGCCATGAAACCCCCTCATTTCAGCTGTGTGTTTTCACACTTCTACTTTGGAAAAAGTCAGAAAAGTGGGCGTGTCCAGCTCTGTTTAGGGGGGAGTGTCGGAGGAAGAAAAGAGGCTTGGTATGGGAGTGTCTATTTGGGCGCGCTGAATTTCAGAGTCAAAACACACACCCACAGCGGACAATGTGACTGTGTTTACATGGACATCTGTCGTCGAATTATTTGCCAAATTATTAAATGGTGGAAACTGCAGTTTGGCTCTTTCATTCAGGGAATTCATTCATGCCCCTCCCGACAAATGTGATATTTGATTCGAGGCGCTGCTCTAAGCGTGTATTTTTCATGCAATGTTTGATACCGCACGGCGAATGAGAGAAAAAAAAAACTCAGCATTTCCCGGAAACTTAGATACACACGGCAGGTAGCGTCAGAAAGCCGCGTGTGTTATTCCGGTCACAAAATCCAACACGAGGTTATAGTTTGGTTGTAACTGTTAGTGCTAACTATTGCACTCGGTGCAATAGTTTGTTTGATACGAATAAAATACGAACTGAATAAACAAAGAGCACTGGTCGCTCACTTACCAAATCTGTAGAGACAGGACAATCACCAACAACTAGAGCCGCGTCTTTATGAAGAGAGACTACAAGCGAATCTGGATCTCAGCGTTTGCAGATGAGAACAGCTCTCAGGTAAACAATAATCCTCCTTAGACACGTAAGTTATTGTTGTCGAGCGTCGCGTACACTGTTAATCCACACGTGATCCAGCTGAGCTCTCACAGAGAGAAAATGAAAACGAAACTTAACTGCTGCAAACTATAAAAGCAACACTTCACGCTTGTTTTGCCAACACAACGTGGCGTCTTTGCCTTCTACACTCTGACAGTAAGGAATATTAATGAAGTTGCACAATAGAGCGCGCTGATTGGTTTGAACCAAGCCTTATTCATGCATTAATGCAGCACACTGTAAAACGTAATAAGACACACTCTGGCACAGACGTCCAGTCTGCACGCTGGAATACACGCTATTATGTCATGACCGTGACGCAGCTTCAAAAATTCGTTTCAAACCGGAAGTACGAATTTGCTTGAGATAACGCAAAAACAACCAATTTACACTTTTTAGTGAAATATAGGTGTCCTAATAGTGTTTTTAGCAGTGTGGGACACATATACGACTGTCAACAGCTCAAAAAATGTGTTTTGGTGTTTCGTGACCCTTTAAAGGTCCCCAAAACTGTCACAGGCTGTCACTGTTCAAAAATGAACAAATGTGTGAATTTAAATTAAACTTCACATCAGTAAAGCTGGTTAGGAGAGCATATTTAGGGCGTACTCACTATGTACAGTTGCTTTGAACTGGGCCAACTTGTCCCCCCTCCCGTCTCCCCCATTCGGGCCTGGGTACGCTTACGTCATCGATGCTGCGCTGTTCAGTAGAGAAGCGCTCTTGCTCAGTGACAGTGGAGATTTCCCTAGTTATATTGTTTTAGTCGTTTGGGATGCAGTGACACTCAGTCAAATATCTCGCCGAACAGATCCGCCACGTTTGACGCTCATAAACAGTCATAAAGTCCTCGTGCTGCAGATATTAGGAGGTTTGCTGAAGGCGCAGCTGTCGTGCAGTGAGGGGTTTGCCTCTTTAATAATCTACAACAGTTTGCGCTCACTGAAAAGAGAGAATGATTAATAAATCTATATGAAACAGTTCCTCAAAAGTCATGTCTTGCTTTCAGTTTCGGGCTTAGACGCGCTTTGCACTCACACACAAGCATACCGCGCCAAAGCGAACCGCACTCAGGCACACCTTTTCCAACCGGGCCAGGGCCGGCCAAGTGAACCGTGCCTAAGCCCGATTCAGAGCACACACACTTCTCAAACGATCTGGGAAACAGGCCTCGGCATGGTTCGGATAGCATAGTGTGAGTGCGCCCTTACTGATGTTTTGTTATTAAACTAAATAACAATCTGATCCCAAAGAAAGCAGTGCTAAAAACAGAAATATCTGTTTACATTACACTTAAGTTTTTATTATCAATGCTGTATAAGGTACTTCATGAACTTAAAAAAAGCCAATGTTTTGCTGGACGTTTTCAGCAGCTGAACAACACTTCTGTGCATATAAACCCATTCATTAACAAGAACACAGTCTACATCAGCTTTCATCAGTTTTCAAATAGACCAGTCTAAAAGAAATACTTCAGTCGAAGTGTCACCCTTCAGATCGTTGTTTTGAACTGCATAACATAATTTTCCTTCCAGCGTGCAAAAGTAATCCCGATATTGATTCAGGGTTTAGGAAAGTTTTGATTCTGCATTTTCGGCGGAAGCCCTTTCAGAAACAATCGATCTTTTCATGCATACAAGGTTGGTCTTTCAGAAAGAAGTTCAGGTTGATGCAAAGTTTGCAGATGACATCTCTTTGTCGGCTGTAGATGCGTGCTTCATGTGTGCGCACGAGTGACTTTTCTGTCTGCTTGAAAAGGCTGCACAGAAATTCAAATCTACATTTGTTGACACAGTTTGAGGTACCTGCTGTAATTGAGTTATTTGTCAGTCCGACAATTTTTAATTGGATGAACGTTTTTTAGTTTTATGCCTTATCCAGAATATAAAAATACATATAAATACACTTAAATCATTTACTTTTATCATTACTATTGGATTGTGAAGAGACTTTCAACCAGCACAACAATAAATATTTCTGAAGACAATCACCTACTGCACCTTTAACTAGTGAGATGGAGCACATGCTGTGTGTTCATGCTAATGATGCCACACACACTGGATTTCTGGTTTGGTTTTCAAATGAAAAAGAGCTTTTATTTTTTGGCTGAACTATCCTTTTAAATGGTATATCCTGATGGTATATGACAATCCTCCAGAAACACGCTTATTTATATATTTCTCCCACACAGGAGATCGAGAGGCTGAAGAATGAAAAGCCCACGTGGGAGCGGCGGGTGCGATGGGATGGAATGAAGGCAGTTTTCGGCGGACCACCGTCGCTGCTGTGGTTCAACCCTTTCGCTGGACTGCGTCTCCGTATGCTGATGGTTCGAGCCCGCAGGAGCGGAGCTGAGTTTTCTGTTTGAGCGAGGAAAGCTGCCGTCTGCCTTCATGCCTACTTTTTCCCCTTCTCATAGGACACAGGACTCCTTGTTTAAGCAGGTCTGGAGGTAAAAAACCCTGTTCAATAACTGATGTGGCCCCTGGAACATTGAGGCTGCGTCTCGATACAGCATTATTACCTCGTACGGCGGATCATACTCGTAATGCTCATCTCGTCTTTATGAACATTCACACTCATGGGTCTTTAAATTGCTTCGTAAGTGGACTTTTTTTGTGGTTTTACGGAAAGGGTGTTAATATTCATTATCCAGCCTGAAGAAATGCATCATCTGTGTGATTTAAAGGTTATTATAAAAGAAATAGATTATAAACCAAACTGAGATTCGCAAAGGAATGTGTTTTTTACCAAAAATAATACATTTTAAAATATGTTTTGGTGGGTAAATCTCACAAAAAGCTGATAGGAAATGTTCGAATGGCTGTAGATCACGTCAAAATCAAAAGGTGGAAAAAAATCACTTCAATATTATATTATATTTTAATTTTTATTATATTATATTATATTATATTTTATGTTTACGTTTAAAGAAATAATTGTAAACAAAGTTAATCTAGAAATTTATATGTGATGTATTTATACATCATGATAGTATTTGTTGTGTTTATTTCAATTACAATTTATTACAATTGCGCTTATATTTTTCATACTACAATAATAGAAAATGGTTAAATTGCTTGATTGTAAAGAAAATGTTTAAAAAAGTGGAGCAAATGCCATAAATATAACATTGTGGCAGGGAAGATGTGGTCGAACGCTCCGCATCCGTGGAGAGCGGGTTAGGAGACCTGTGGCTGGAAAAGTTGGTCAGCTAGAGATATTATTTCTACTGCTTCTCAGTGATTGGATCGGAGTGACGGTTTTTAAGTGAGAAGATGGGCTGGTCGGGGGGAGAGAGGAACAACCGATAGGGATGGCTGAAGTGTAAACTCTTTCAAGACCATGTCGAGATCTTGAAGTGCAAGTGTTTCGAAAGACCTTCTGTCTTATGTGCTGTCTTACGACGTAGGATTCGAAACACCCAGGTCACATGACTAAGGTGATTCCAAACACCAGGTCATATGACTAAGGTGATTCCAAACACCCAAGTCACATGACTAAGATGATTCCAAACACCCAGGTCATGAACTAAGGTGATTCGAAACACCCAGTTCACTTGACTAAGGTGATTCGAAACACCAGGTCATGAACTAAGGTGATTCAAAACACTTGGGTCACTTAACTAAAGTGATTCCAAACACCCAGTTCACTTGACTAAGGTGATTTGAAAAACCCAGGTCATGAACTAACGTGATTCGAAACACCCAGTTCACTTGACTAAGGTGATTCGAAACACCAGGTCATGAACTAAGGTGATTCAAAACACTTGGGTCACTTAACTAAAGTGATTCCAAACACCCAGTTCACTTGACTAAGGTGATTTGAAAAACCCAGGTCATGAACTAACGTGATTCGAAACACCCAGTTCACTTGACTAAGGTGATTCGAAACACCAGGTCATGAACTAAGGTGATTCAAAACACTTGGGTCACTTAACTAAGGTGATTCCAAACACCCAGTTCACTTGACTAAGGTGATTTGAAAAACCCAGGTCATGAACTAAGGTGATTCTAAGGTGATTCGAAACACCCAGGTCACGTGGCTAAAGCGATTCGAAGCATTGCTCATTTCAGAAGTGTTTCGAGACCTGGTGAAACTGCATTTGACTGACAGGGTTTAAAAAAATCATGTAGGCTAGTGGACCGCACATGTGCACACTCTCACCTAAAGTTTGAATCCCGACTTGCACAAATACTCTGAAATTATGACTTGATGTATTTATTAATGTTACTTTTTTATGAATAAAACAAGACATATTTATTCACAAAGTGTTCATTCTGATGTCAGACCAATGTTAAAACAAAATATGTTACAAGAACAGAGCATTTTAAAAACTAACATCTATAGCTGCATCTCCCTGATTTCGAACTTAATATGTCTGCATGCAGTCATGAACTCACCGCTTCATTAATCATTCGAAACCTCAGCTCTACAAAGTGGGGTTAATACCTCAATTTCTTAACAGTTTCTTTGCTGAAGCTGTTCCAGAGCAATACATAAAAATGACCACTAGGTGTCACTGTGGAGACAAAGTTCAAAACGTTTCATAGCTTCGACACATTTGCTTCGACTGTTTTAGTGTTTGACTGTAAGCTTTGCTTTGCCCACCCCTAGCTACCACTCTGAGAGAGTGTTGAGCGTTTGATGCAAGAACAAAAACACTTTGCTTACCTGAATGGCCGACCCTGTTTTCTTCTTCCTGGGTTTTGGCACCAGTTTAATACAATTTGTCTAATATGAAGGAAGAAGTAGACAGGGTTGGCTATTCAGGTATGTAAAGTGTTTATTTTGTTTTTGCATCAAACGCTCAACACTCTCTCCGAGTTCTCGGTAGCTTCTCAACTGGCCCGTCTTCTCACTTAAAAAGCGTCTCTCCAACCCAATCACTAACTACGTTTACATGGACATCAGTCATCGAAATATTTGCCTTAATCTAAATAAGACAATAATATGATGGTGTTCACATGAGTTGCTTTTTTCATGATCCCGTTTTACCTGTTATAGCACATAGATCGTTTAACGTCATTGTGTCAACACGCTATCCACGTTTTATTCGAGTTTTATTATTAATTTTTTGACTTTAACAGCAGTTCGGCCGTTTTATTTTCATTCAGGAACATTTCATGTATGCCCCCCATGACAAACTGAGGTATTGGAAACGAGTACGAAGTAAGGTCTGGTGGAGGTGTGTGGTTTTAATGGAATTTGATACCGCACACCAACTGGAAGAAAAAGAAACCTTCTCAGTGTGGGTGTCTGTGCTCTTTCACTGACTTGGTAGGTGCAGAGAATAGTGTAAAACATCAATGTTTATATGGACTATCCTGTCGCAAAATGCAGCGAAAATCCTACAGGACGGTAATAGTTTGAGGTGTTTGCATGTGTGTACTGCACTTCAATAATGTGACTAAAATGGGCATACTCCACATGTCTTAGCTCGATTATGACCTTAATCAGATTAAACTCATCAAAAATCTCTGTTTACATGGTAGACTCTTAATCACAGTATTGTCTTAATCGTATTAAAATCGGATTATTGAGGTCCACGTAAACATACTGATAGAGAAAAAACAGGTGTTAATCATAACTTTGATTACCCTACTTTTCCAGCCGCTGGACTCATAACCCGCTCTCCAGGGTTGCAGGGTGTTCGCCCACTCCTTTACCGCCACAAACATTTTAAATGTAAAGAACTAAAAACACGCAATTATAAAAAGTCAGATATTGTGATTATATAAACTCTCAGGAAAGATTTCAAGATTTTAAGAATTGTAAGTTCTAAAATTTAGTTTTTAAATCACAATTCAGATTTTTCTGTTTGTTTTTCTAAGAAATGCATGTTTGCCAACTAAGGGTGCTTTCACACCTTCACTTTTGTTTCCGAACTTTTCCCTAGTTAGCACAGTTCGTTTGGCATATGTGAAACCAGCAATCGCGCTCGGATCCACGCCAAAACAATCGATCCGAGATCACCTGAATGTAGTCTCGGCTACATTCATTAAATTAACATCGGAGTGGATTGATTGTAGTGAGAAAGCAATACAATCTGATCCAGGCTATGTCACAGTGTATTATGGATATGTAATGTATAATAGATGGATATGTTGAAGTCAAATTTATTAGCCCCGCTTTGAATTATTTATTTTAAATATTTTCCAAATGTTTAACAGAGCAAGTAAATTTTCACAGTATGTCTGATAATATTTTTCTTCTGGAGAAAGTCTTATTTGTTTTATTTCGGCTAGAATAAAGGAAGTTTAAAAAAAAATAATAACCATTTTAAGGTCAATTATTAGCCCCTTTAAGCTATATTTTTTCCATAGTCTACAAAACAAACCATTGTTATATAATAACTTGCCTAATTAACCAAGTTAAGTCTTTAAATGTCACTTTAAGCTGTATAGAAGTGTCCAGAAATTAGTTATTAAAACTTTTATGTTAAGAAATGTGTAAAAAAAAAAAAACTTCTCTACCTTAAACAGAAATTGGGGAAAAAATAAACAGGGGGGCTAATAATTCTGACTTCAACTGTATATGGGTATATGAATAGAGTATCATGAGTAGGGCGGGATGTCATTCCTTCCAGTATTAGAGCGTTTCATGTCGAATACGAAAGTGACAGCATGTTAACTATTAACGAGAGCTGTTTATCCGTTAAGAAAATTGACTGAACAGCAGTTGTTTATCTGTTATTTCTCTCTATAAGGTAAAGCCTATAATGCATAAGCCAAGGCTCTGTATAAGAACTTCTTACCTCTAATTTTGAAATGGTGACAGATATCGTAACCAAAAATAAATCAAAGCGCAGCTATTTACTTATAATGTCTTATTGCTCATCATCATAAATTAAAATAAGTACGCAGGATCTGGATGGAGACCTGGTGCAGTGCAATCTGAGCTGAATCCAATGCTTTTTAATGCTCTCACCTAACCCCACCTGTCAAAGTCACGTCACTTACTCAATTAAGTGCATTGTGTCTGACATTGCATCGCTGAGAGATGCAATCTCAGCTTGCATCATAAAGGCTGCATCCAGATACTATTGTGACAGCTGAGTGTGACTCTGCACAATAAACCCTGAAACTCTGACTAATGTGAGGAGAGTTTGCTCACACGTGACTTGTTTTAGCTGTTTTGGTCCATTTGGAAACTTTGCCATGTGAAAGCAAACCGCACCAAGAACAAGAATAAACATTGAACCGAAACAAGGATTAAAATTGTTACAAAAGAATTGAATCGCAGGTGTAAAAGCACCCTTAGATTTACAAGATGCCAATCTGAGGAACTTCTGAGGAAAGACGTTGGCATTTGCATTAATTTCTTTGTAAAATATTGAAATAGTTTATAATTCAAAGAATATTATTTCCTTTTGATTTAAGTGTGAGATATGAGCCGGACACTTCCTTGTGAGATTTACCCGTGACTAATCCAGCTGCGTTATCTTTAGTGCATTAGCTAAATGAAGCCATTCTAAGATCATCTCGTCTTCATGTATTGTAGAAATAATAATAAGAGCCTCATTTAAAGAGCTTGAATGGATGATGTGACTCTCTCTTTTTCTCTTTATATATATATATATATATATATATATATATATATATATATATATATATATATATATATATATATATGTGTGTGTGTGTGTGTGAATTCTTACAATGACCTTAGGCTGCTCTACATAAAGACAAATCACATCATGGCATACATAATTAAAGTAT